ACGTTGCAATGCGCAGGAGGACGGAAAACTATAAACCCGTCAATACCGATATCCGTGACGGTTGGATATGCCTCCCACACCGGTCTCAGAAACATGTGGGCACCACAATCGGGGCGTCAACCACTCAGCCTTATGTATGTGCATCAACGATCGTTCCTAGCAACAACAATTTTGGAACACTTGTGACCGCAGAATAAAAACATATATGGTAACCTCGCCCCAATCTGGAGCGCGGTTCCGAGACTTCCCACGCCCACCTGAAGACCAAGAGCTACCGCATCAACACCTTCGTTCGGTTTAACGCCTTTGAGTATGAAACGGTTGTTCTTCGTGTCCGGCACCATGATAAGCCCCACGACGGCGGTAGGAACGGTGTTGCGATAAAGTATGACGAAATGCCCCCAACTTATTGGAAATTAAATCCTGTTCAATAACTTCTTGCTAAGACATCTACAAGCGGGTGCTGACTACGGGTCCTTTAAAGCGTACTCACGGAACTCCCAGCCGAAGTGATTGACAAACTCAGCGAACGCAGTCGAGATAAGTGGGCACGAAAACGTCCAGGTATCGCCCGACACGTCGGTGTTCGAGCAGCAAGAGGCACAGTACGCCCCGGTTGTGCCCTGGTTGTATTGCTGCCGGAGACCAGCAACACCAAAGAGCCAGGATGGGCATTGCATGAAAACAAAGAAAATATTTTCGATCTCAGCAGCACGCCGAGTGGCATCAAGACGCTGATGCCAATGTCTGGCCTCCAATGCCATGTGTATGTGGGGCTAAGTCGGTTAGTGAGGCGAGGGGAACAGGGTGGGTTTGTGAACAAGCTCTAGCTTGCCCACTGTGTAGAAGTGTGCGTGTCAAGGTGGCCGTACGTATACCCGTGGTCCGCATGACCTGCACCGCGACCTCTAGCTTAATGCATTGCCAAGGCCGAAAGCTCGCTAGCGGCTCAGAAAAATCGCCCACATGGTAGCGGAAAGCGCCTCTAGAAATGTTTGTGGATCACTTCAAGCGGCCGACACACAGACGAAGATCATGACTACGTCTGGAGGAATGCCGAACTCACATCGAGAAAGTCAATCAACCAATTTGGAGACGATGGTTCACAGCTGCCGATTTCGAGCCCGCCGAAGCACGTTTGTTTCCCCTGCATTTCAACAGCGCAGGAGATACCAATTTTCCGGGCCAGACCTTTTCACTTGCGGGGTTCAACCTGGTTTCCCCCCCCCCCCCCCCCTCGCCCTCCCCGCCCTTCTCCCCCTCTCGCTCTGGGAGATCGTGTGCACCATTGTGGTAACCGCGTACAAGTAGTGTACAATCCTCGGATACCTCTTACAGTACATAGTTCATATAATATGTATCCAGAATCCCGCTGTGCTCAAGACGTTGGTAGCTCGGAGATTTCACGAAAACATCATTCCGGATCGTCTGAAAACCATTTAGCTAAGAAATGTGTAGACTGTGATAGTCGTCGGTATCGGCATCGGCAATGTAGCAAATGGCGGTATCCAAAGGGTGGCATCATTGCAAGCCCACCTTCAGGAAAGTTGGTGTACGGCATAGGCCACATATAGTACGTACGCTCCAAGGGGTGCCTTGCCCAAACGTTCCCTAACGACTCGACATGTAGACTACAGTAGTCAGTCTGCGTTGCAACGTTTCACGTCTGTGTGGCACACGTCGGTATGCTAGCTACCTGGGTACATCTGTTGCTGGTGTTGTCTAGCTGTGTAGACTACAATATAGGATTTGAGGCGCCCAAACACATTGCTCAAACCTCTTTCACCTGCAAAACTCTGGCGCACACCTCCACCTCGCAAACACAGCCCGCGAGTTAGAAATCATTCTGCAATAATGGTGTTTGCCCGTACCCATAAATCTTTGAGTTCTGCGCTTGGATTGCACGCATTGTGCTGCCACGGACTAGTACATCTAGGTAATTATGTGTACAACAGAGGCACGCAGCTTACCTCGGCATATGCTATCGTTGACGACGAATCGAAGGCCCCGCCATAGAGAGTAAGGTCCACCACGCCACATGCAGGTGGCAACAGCACCAATAGCGAAAGTGCAACGGCACACCGCCACGATGTGAGTATGGGGGCTGCGCGCTTGCCAGCCCGACTCCAAAACATCGCTACGTGGTTGCGCCCGAGGTCGACCTCGCCGGTGTCCTTCACGTGTCGAGGGAGAACTGCTTTCAATTTCCCAGGGCGGTTGTTTTTGGGTATGACCACTACCACGGGCCTCACCGTGGTGGCTTGCTTCCCGCCGATGTTCCCCGACCGCGTGAAATATTCTGCCGCGGCTGTACTAGAAGCCACGACTCCCGCCAATGCGAAGGGCCGGCCATTGCAGCAACACTTGTCGGAAGGATGCGGTCGGTGCCACCGTTGGGCGTCGCTTTGCGTTCTCCAGCGCGCTGGCCAGTAGGGAAGGAGCAGGTGAGCTAGCATCCTGATGAACGACGTTGAGCTCGGCGGATCGTGCCGCACGACACACAGCTACACTGCAGAGGAGGTGTGGCGCTCCCGCCCCGTCCGTGCGAACCCGCCTTCACATCGTCAAATATTCAAAAAACTCGAGATCATGACGGTTTCATGTTTGTTTAAAACAAAGAAGACGAAAGAACAAATTCGAAACCCAGTGACCAATCTGTCGGGCCCCCTATTCGTCTTTTCAAGTCTTTTGTCTGCGGTAAGAAAGGAGAGAGGCTGGGAAGAAGGGCGCACACATTCACCCAGCAGCGAGAACCGGGTAGGCATGTGGGGATCGCTAAACCTAGGTTCGATCCGCGATGCAGCTACGAAACTTAAGGTGCGCCCACTCTGTGGAATAGCTGTCTTTCGTTGTTGTGAAATATGCATTAGGGACATTTTATGCCCCTGTTTCTGTGTGCTGTAAGTGCTTGGTGTCGGGCATCGTGTGCGCTGGGCAAGCCAAGCGCAGCATCATAGTAGCCCCGCAGTTGCTCTTCGTGGGCCATTGCGAGTGAAACTTGTCCAAGCTGTTGCTGCGGTCCTCTTTGTCAGTAGCGCCGTGTTGCTCTCTCGCTCTCTCTCTCTTTCTCTCCAGGGCATCTACGCCATGAATATTGTAGTACACAACTTATGTGCGGGTCAACGCTAGAGATGCTCCGCGCTGGCAAGCTCACACCCTGCACACCTCTGCCCCATCAAACTGGGCATGTGCTGAGTGATAGTAGAAATGGGCGAGCTGCCGCGGTTATCTCGGGCTCGAGCTGCGTCGTATTCTCGAGATGCCGTCGAAAGCGTGTGAATGCAGGCTCGTAAAGGATCTTAGGTTGGTGGCATCTCTACAGCAGTAGCAATAGAACAAGTTCCTCGTATATGCAAAACCAGCATTCACCAGCGTACACCTGCCTCATGGTTCGTTCTGCACCTACTGCTGTAAATGGTACTGCCATAGGCTTACGAGCCCAACCGGTGTGAGGGCTACGTTTACCCGCGAGGGCAAAGCATGCAGGGCGCAATGTTCTCTTGTTACCTGCTGAGATGGAATACGTACAACGTACAGCGTACAGCGTCCTCTGATACGAGCCTTCACACATGCTGTACATGCCTACACCTCTGCTATTTATTTAGTCCGACGGAAAAGCGCCGCGACGCGAAGCCACCACACACATTTTATGAAAAATATATTGTACAACCACAGAAAGACTAGCCGTTCGAGATATGATAACCACAGTCGAAGGGTGTGTGTTGGAGCCTTTGTGGTGAGTGGAGGGAAACCGGGTGGGTCCTGGGCTTAAGCCGAGTCTATTTAAAGCCAACACTGAATTTTCTCAGTGCCAGCAGGTGCCGATCACCAAAACACTGCTGTTTTGGTGCAACATCACAAGACATCTCCCCCGTAGTATTCTTCTATCTACTGGGGAGACGACGAAAATATCGGGGAGAAACCCTCCGTTGTGTCGTGTGTTGTAACATTCTGCCTCCACAGGAACACGTCGCAGTGTCTCTTTGCATATGATGTTCGACAACTTTCCAAATCGAGGCGGATCAACTGTCTTGCTTGGATGACACGCATCTAGCCCCTGTCGGCTCGTTGAGGACATCCATCTCGATAGCATCCACATGGTAGAACATCGGCAGTGAAGGACATCGTCAACACATGTAGAGAAGTGGTGCGGGTATATCAACTGGTACGACAAAGAAACATGCTGACAATGTTCCCACCTGGAATAGCGTGATAGCAGGAAGGGTTTTTGTTGCCCAATGGTCACGATGATCATCTTTGTGCGAAACTCGCTACAACCATTTTCGTCTTGCGTCAATTCCTATCGGAGAAGGCTACCAAGGTGGCACAACGGCAGGATCCGAATGCCGGCTGCTCCGAACTCAAACTAGAGGTCTTGCGGGTTGGTTCAATGAGAGGACGCACCAAGCTGATCTTTGACCAAAAGCTTCGCTATCCGCAGACCACGTTTGCCGTGTGGGAGGCAAGAGCGCCCAGAACTGCTACATAGCAATTGGATGCAGTGCAGGTCATGATATTTCGCACGAGTACAGCGCGCTTGGCCCCGCTTCAGCCCCCGGAAAAATGCCGCAATTGGATCCCCGGACCTGTCCTTCCCGGCCATGAAACGATGGAACCTGGATTATTTCGGGACGGGGAACGTTCGTCCCATAGGTTCCATGGGAAAGGAATATACAAAAATAGCTGATCCGGCGTAACACCCCAATGGTGGCAACCTCTCATGGTTTCGTGAAAGCTCCCGCTAGGGTGTGGCCTGCCGTGGACGGTGGGGCAGGGGTATTGCTTCTTTTTTTCTGTCCGACCGGCCGGTTTGGCTTCAATGCTGTAGGCCCATGTCGGCATTTTTCTGTTGTCAGTTTTCCGCTCCCGGTGACCCACGGTTAGAGGGGAGAATATCTGGTGTTTTCAGGACAATATGTGAGGAAGGGAAACGCCACCTTAAGTTCAACACCCCGCTTGTTCCCCCTCGCACCTTCCTCCAGGATGGCCTCGAGGCCCAGATGGACGAAGCAATGCAGCAGTCCGGCCCAGTGGTCGTGCGCGCCGGCCCGGGCCTGGCGGGCGAGGATGGAGACGAGTATTCGCCCGGCAGCCCGGCCGGGGGATCGGCGGGGGCGCGAGGGATGTCGCTGACCGCTCCGCCGCCGCCGGACCTACCGTCCGAGGGAGCCTATGATTCGCCGGTGGCGAGGGTGGCCGGCCTGCAGCTTGGAGGCGGGGGTTATGGTAGCGGCGGGGGCGGGCGGCGGGGCTCTTCTCCGGGCGGGCTTGCGGGGTGAGGGAGACGGGCGTTGTGGCCGTCTGGCCCGTGGCGAACTACTTGTTGCGTTGCGTATTTCGTTTTTGGCCAGACGGCTAGTTGCGTTATGTGTCTCGTTGTGTATTGCCGATGGGCAACCGATGTGCATTGCACCCCTCCGTGGCGAAGCATGCTACACGGGTATGCGGCACGCACAGTGTCGTGTTTAGCAACGCTTTTGAGGAAGGGGTTGCGGTCCGGCACTAAAACACACAGGAGCTCGTCCCTCGGACCGATTTGCTCTGGTACCGGATGCAGCGTATGGTGCGTGTGAAACACGCGACCAAGTTGCCGTTGGAGACAATACCCGAACCGATGGCACGATCAGCAGAATGCCGACGCCTAAGACGGAGTTGTACTCTCTCGCACACGCACACCCCAAGTTATCCCCACCGACTTTCACACACAGGCTAGCGATTATTTTTGCCCTTACCCCGCTTCGACCGCATCGCCTCTCACTCCGTACGATTTCCACACCCCGTAGGGATGCTGGCGAAAGCGGGGTATCGCCGCCGCCATCCCCGCCTCCCCGAACGTCGTCGCGCTTGGGGGCTCCGCCTGATGCAACGCTTGCCGGGGGTACGGGCGGAGGGGGCGCCGGTAGAGCGGAGACGGGTCGGCAGCGGCGCGAACGGCTGAAGCGCGAGAGGGCCAGAAAGAAGAAGCAGGCCGCTGAAGGCGGCGGAGGTGGTGGTGCGGCCACCGAAAAATATAGCGAGAAGCCGAGGTATGTGCTATGGTGTGTGTATTTTCGTGCCATCTACTTCTGGCGCCAGTCTACGGTTTACACCCGTTGGTGTGTGTTTCTGACGCATCCGTCGGGGTCACGCAGACAGGATGAGGTTCACACACAGGAAACGGGGATGTTTTTGGAAGGTCGTTGGTTGATAGTTGTGCGGTTGAGGTCCGGGCAAGTATGTGGTGCGTTTGGGTTCTACACCCTGGCCCTTGATATTCGGTTTCGGTGTGGTTTTGGTGCTCGCGGTGAGCTTCGACCCAGTCAAAGTACTTGCTGTGGAAAAGCGTCCTTTGTAGGTAAAGTGTTGTTGCGTTTCGAGATATCCGCCACCAACAGTTTATGCACTGTTCGCTGCGTCATACCCCCCCCCCCCCTGCTACCCACTGACGACATCTCCGCTATACTCTTGACGAAACTAATATTTTCGCAGAATGCAAGCGCCCCACATGCCTAGGAATAACGCCAAGTCTGGTTGTGCCGATTTTTGTACCGGCAGCGTGAGGCGCCTGCCTACGTCCCCGGACATTTCCGGGGTACCCGCGAACGTCACGGATGGTACCGAAGACGCAAGCACCGCCGCCGCTGCCGCTGCCGCCGGGGAAGGTGCTCCGACCGTGCCTCCCCTGGAACTCGGAGCGACCGCTGTCGTGGACGACGCACCACGCGACGGGGGCGAGGTCGGTCATGCTCCTGCGGCCGCCTTTCCGCCGTCGCTTGGAGTGGCTGGCGGTTACTGCACGGCCGGGGGCGGCGAGAGCGAGGGGGTTATGCCGGCTACCGCCAAGGAGGCGCCGCCGCCGCCGCCGCCTCGCGTGGACGGGTTGGCTGAAGTGGCTGGGGACGGAGTTGGCGGAGTTGGCGCTGCGGCAGGGTGGGGAGACGTATGTGAGTTGCGTGTTTTGGTCGCTCGGTGTTGGAGACCCTTGCGCCGGCGGGAGCGGAGAGCGAATATATTTTTTTGCAGCTGAGCGTGTTGAGAAATCTCCCTCAGCCAATGGCACTGGCGCTGTTGTGGTTGGAGTACGCTCCCCCCCCGTGGCGCTCTCGGCGTTGGTGAGCCCGCCGCTGGTGCTTCCTTTTCCACCGCCGTTTCCAGCTAAATATGACGAAAGACGGTCTCTTTTTTTGTTTTGTTTTTTCTTTGCCACATCAGTCCCCGTCGTGCGGCCGCCGCTGCTTCTTGCGCGCCTTCATTGCTCCAGGCTCTGGTACCACTACTGATTGCGCAATAAATTTTCAAGTGTACCGTCGCCCTGAACCCCATACGCATCTGTTGGATGGCACCCTGTGTATCTTACCGCGGGCGAAATCTTTGTCGATTGCAGTAGCAAAGTAGCGAATAACTCAACCATCTTCCCTCACCTGGCACCAACCAGCTCTGGAAGACAGCGACGAGGACGTGGAAAGCCAGGATAAAAGCCACTCCGCCGCGGACGAGCTTTCAGAGGCTGCTGCCGCAGACGAGATCAACAGCGGGAGTGATACTGCCGAGCTCCCACACGCAACACCGGGTGGAGCCCTTCCTGCCGCGGCGAGCGCTGCCGAGCCATCGTCTCCCGGTCGAATAGACGGTGCAAGCGACGGTGGTGGTGATGTTGGGATCCCTCCGTCGGAAGAAGCTTTGTCGCCGTTGGCGGTGCCGGCAGAGACGGACGCCGCAGGCGCGGAGGAGGGGGGCAACACTAGCGGCCACGACGCGGACGGGAGTTCTTTGCAGCCTGGGGAGGCGGGAAATGACCAGGAAGAGGGCGACGATAGGAGCGACTCACAGCAGCCCCAAGATCGGGAGGAGGAGGAGGAGGAGCTGATTGGTTCCGGTGCCGGTTCGGCGGAGGCAGCCCAGGAGGAGGGGGAAGCGGTTGAGGGTACATCGTCAACATCAGTGGCAAAGGACGAAGAGGGTAGCGAGCCCCGGGATGATGAAGGCCTTGGCGAGCAGGAAGGGGAAGGGGAATCAGAAGGGGAGGCAAACTCATCGTCGCTGGCCGGAGAAGAACCGTCGCCCAACGAAGAACGGGGTTCTGCGCCGCCGACGGTCCCGCTGGCCTCCTCCCTCGGCCCCGACGCCGAAGACGTAGACACCGGCGATGCGGGAGCGGCCGCCACCGAGCACGACAAGCCAGCGGAGGACAGCAGCGCGGAGTCGGCGGAGGGGGGTTTCGAAGGAGAGGCGGGCGTGGCGGAGGATGAGGCGCCGGGGAGCTCGGTCGAGGAGGCCGGGGATGCTGATGGTGGTGGTGGTGGTGGTGTTGATGCCGGCGGTTTGGCGGAGAGCGACGAGGAAGGGGAGGAGGACGGCGGTGGAGGCGTTCTTAACGGCGACGTCGGAGACGAAGACGAAGACGAAGACGAAGGCTACGGCACTGACGGTGGCGCCGCAGAGGATGCCGAGTCGTTGGGGTCGGCGACACCCGAAGCCGCGCCCGTCGTCGCCGGTGGAACGGCAGACATAGAAACAGAGGCGTCCGGCAGGGAGGATTTGGCCGCCGCCGCCGCCGCCGCCGCCGCCAGAGAGCGCGAGGACGCCCTGACGGCAAGGCTGCTCGTGGCGGAGGAGCTCCTTCTCGAGCGGGAGCGCCAGCTGGAGTCCACGAACCTCGCCATGGCCGAGATCATGCAGAACGGTAGTAAGGCGGGAAGCGCCGGCGACGGCTCCGACGGCGGCGCAGCTGCTGTAGCGGACTTGCGGGGTCAGCACGCGCAAGAGGTGTCGAGGCTGGAGGACTTGGTCGAGGCGGAGAGGAGGAAGGGGAAGGCGGCGGCGGACGCGGTCCGGTCGTGGGAGACGAAGGCGGAGGAGTTCGAGGAGAAGGACAAGATGCTTAAGGTGCTCGTCATGTCGTGTTGCGTACCTTGTGTTTGATGGGCAGCGGCTAGCTGTGTGCGTTTGTAAGTGGGCCATGAGAAGTGAACGGCACCAGCAGAGCGCTGCGTTCAAGGTTCCAATACCGCGGGAGCAAACCCATGGTGTATTATTCCTTAGGCACGGGTGCGTAAGGTGGACGTAGCTACATTTTTCCCCCCCAGATGTGGCGAAGGAGATTTTTCTTATAGAGGCACGCACGCTCTCTTTGGTTTTTTGGGCGTCGGATGAGTTTGCTTTGGGCTGATGCCGGTGTTCATGCTGCTGCTGCTGCTGCTCCTCCTCCTCTTACCACTTGTTTCTCCGTCCCTTGCTCTTCGTGCTGTTGGTGTCGTGCCGCTGCTGCGTCTGCTCCACCCATAAAAATCGCACAGTACACCTCCTTCGGAGCTGAAAGCACGGTCTAAAACGAACATACGTCGTTGTTTTTCGGTCCCCTGCTCGTGCGCGTCGCGGTTCTCTCTTGTTTGATCGATCGACCCATACCGTTTGACCATCATCTTAATTGACAACACGAGTTTTTCTTTGCTTTCCGTGAAGGCGTACATGGACGAAGGGGCCATGCTCGCGTTCAAGCAGAGCGAGATGGAAAAGACGGTGAGGAAGGCGAGAGGCGCTCTCAGGGGTGTCCAGGAGGAACGAGACTCGCTGGCCAAGGTGAGACAGACAGACCGGAGATGCTCGGAACCTTCCCGCTCTCGTCGTCATCGGTGATGATATAGCTGTTGGTTGTTGTTGTTGTTGCTGCTGCTTCTGCTGCTGCTGCTGCTGCTGCTGCTGTGTTGTTGCTGTTGTTGCTGTTGCTGTTGCTGTTGGTGGCGATGGGTGTGGTGTTGATGTTGTTGATGTTGATGTTGTTGTTGCAAGGGGTGTCTCGAGCATGTTTTTGCTTGTCACAGTGCAACTGCGCCCGACGCTAGTTGCGGTTTGACGGGAGGTGGGAGACGAGATCGCCCCAGAACCTACACTATAGTAGGACTCGGACTGCTGGCGTAGATTGTCGCGTTAGTCATTCGTCCTGTTGATGTCGCCATCGAAGCACACACGAAAACTCTCAATGGATCGCGGCAGAGGGATTTTGTCCTTTTGCTTGTAGCGTTCTCGATAAGGCGGACAGCGTTAACCCTGTTGTGTTTTTTGGTGGATGCTTGGTCCGTTTGCGCATCACGACGCGCGAAATTTGACAGGAAAATACCACGCTTCAAGCATCGCTGGCCGGACTCCGGGAGCAACTTAGGGCCAAGGACGAGGAGCGCGCCAGCCAAACGCAGAGCCTCGCTGCAATGGGGGCGGTCAGCCAGGCTTCGTCCCACCGCCTCAACGCCGCCGAGAAGGCGAGTGGAATCCCATCCCAAACATGTCCTCATCTCTTCGATGCCCCCGCGAGTCGCGAATACCTTGCCCACCAGAATCTCTCCGGTCATTCCGCTTTTTTTTCGATCTCGGGCTCAACGCTATGCAGCAACCGCTCCTCATGGCTCGAAGTTGTGTATTGGGATGCTGGAGAACATATCAAACAATCTCCGTCGCCATGACCACGCCCACAAACCCCCCACATGAACATGTGGTTTAGTCCGCCGAACATAAATATATGTGCCGTGCTTCAAGTCCAACCCACACCTAACCTGGCTCTTTGCCCACCCCCACTTTTGATAATTGTTAACCGGCCGTCGTGTAGGAGCTCGAGAAGCTACGCGAGGCTTTGTCCGCGAAGAAGGCTGCTTTGGACAAGTCCTGGGCGGAGACGAAGGAGCTCAAGCGAAGCCTGGCGGAGCTGAGGGCCGAGAAAGACGTGAGAGAAACGGGGGAGGGTGAGGGTTTGGAAAGTGGGGCGCCGGGGGTTGGTACTGTTGTTGATGTAGACGAGCAGCCGCAGCCCCAAACTGGATTCAGGGCCGAATCCGGGATGGTCAATCCTATGCAATATATCCCCTTTTGACCGAAACACGAAGATATATATAGAGCTTACAACACTAGATCCGCGAGGTCTCTTGATTTGAGGGAAGGGGGGATCGATGGTTCGTAGTTCGTACCCGTTCTTGCTGATGTCGGCGGGCAGCCGCATCCGGGGGAACAGGATGATACCGAATGAAATACGACCTTATTTTGGACGCGAACGATGCCCCAACAAAGTTTGTAAAGCGTGATTCGTGCGGGGGCGCTTGTAGGAAGGGAAAGGAAGAATAGATGCGTGTGTTCGACAGGCTGCGAGGCAGCGGCAGCGAACAGATTTGTGGTCCAGCACGCTAGCACACTGGGGATTTTGGGGAGGAAGACACGCCGTTGGTTTAGAACTGTAGGCCGTACGGGAGTGAAAACTGGCAGCTCGTCGACTGCCTCAGTTGTTGCGCTCTTTGCCGTTGACGAGGCGGTATAGTGGCCCTCTGTGTCCCCGACCTGACAAAACCTGACGAAACCCACGTCTTGATGTTGACCGTCTTGAGAGCCGATGCCCCTCTGCCTAGGCGACCAAAAGCACATATTGGTAGAGGATCAGAGCTTTGTAGATGGCCCAGGTGACCGAGCTAGCTCCTCCACATTGGAGGGGGGGGGTACTCATAGTCGTGGGGGTGGGGTGGGGGGGGGGAGTAGCCGTTCCCCTCGAGTGGCGTGCTTTCGACCGTTTAAAGTGTGTGTGTGTTTTGTGTACTCCGATGAGCATTAACGTTTGTCGCACACACTTTTCACTCTCGCGGGCGGCACCTGCGGCGTATTTGCGCCCACGCTGAGTATTTGCCAACCTCGCTCACTGCTCTGCCCTGTGCTATGTGGTGGTATACGGCACGGCGTTGTTGCTTCTCTCTCAGGCCCTCACCAAGAGCCTGGAGGACGGGGGCAAGGCCCGGCAAGCGACGGAGTCCCAGCTGCAGCAGTGGCAAGACAGAGAGTCGACGCTCCTCCTGGAACAGGTCTGTGCGAGGGCGCTCGTGCGCGAGGGCGCATGTCTTGATGTCTGTCTTTTGTGTGTGTTTTTATTGTTAGCATCGACCGCACCAACCGGTTGAACAATTTTTCAATTGTGTGTGTTTAAGACTCAAACCTGGAAGGCCGGACCAAGTGTGCTTTCGGAGAGCGTTCTGTGCTGCGAACTAGCGCTTCTGCGGCGGTCTACGTTAGAGGTATCTCGGTTTCTTGGGGCGTTTTGGCCCGGTTTAGAACGGGAATGTAACAAGGGTTGGTGATGCAATAGGGACACACCTACAACCTGTGAGCCCTTTCGTGGCAAGCGGCGCTCTGGGATGGGGCTAAAAGGTTGACTTGCTTACACAGCAACACCATGCACAACGACTGATCCGAACCTAGACCAATCGTTTTTTTTTTGTCACCTCACCCCCGATGTACTCTCAGTCACACACACACACCCTCACAGTATGGTCTGCGTCCCCCCCTCCCCTCCACCCCTTGTGGCTGTGTCCTCGCGCTTGGTTTTCAGTCACAGCTGCAGGAGACGCTGGAGCGCGTGCGGCGGGAGGCGGATCACAGGGAGGACGAAGCAAAGGACCGCCAAGAAGACGTCCGCAGAAGGTGACAAGACAACCCGTTCGCTTGCATTAGAGCTTTTGAGGACGGATTGGGTTTGTGAAGTGCGGCGCTTCTAACGGGTTTTTTGTTGAAGTGGTGTGGCGGTTGATGTTGATGGGGTGAATGGCTCGAGGGTGCGAGCAGACCCTGCAGTCTTGGTGTAGCGATCTCTGGTATGACGATTGAAGGGATGGGTGACTCGAGGGTGCAATGATACGCTGGTCTTGATGGAAAGATCGCTGAAGACGATTGTTGTTGTTGTTGTTGGTGTCTTCACATTAAAGACCGTTCCGATCTCTCTCTACCCAGTACCTTCATATGTCCGTACTGATCCAACACTCGACGCGGTCGATTCCCGTGGTCACAGGCTAACTTACCCAAAAAAGGTATCCTCAAACAAACTGGCCCCGAGGGGTCCGCAAGTCAATAGAAATCAACGACAGATATTCTGCAGTCCTCCGCTCCCTCTGCGCGCTATGCGAGGTAACAACTGAGACTAGGAGTCAGCATCACGGGCCAGAGAGAAAGAGGTACACCCCCTTGGTTCAATCTTGGTGCTTCACACGCAAGCAGAGACAAGGCCATCGGACACAGAAAAAGAGAGAAAAAAGAGCGACAAAGAGAAAAAAGAGGAAAAGAGAAACAAATAAAAGGAAACAGGAAGAAAGGAGAAAGTAAAATGAAAAAGAAAACGAAAAAGAAAAAGAGCGAGGACAAAAAGAGACCAGGCCGAAAATAACAAGAATTAAGAGACAGAATAAGTAAGGCACACGGTGGAGAGACCACTAACGAACGAACAAGCAAACATGCAAACATGGCCACCAACCAGCGATACATGGTAATGGTACGTCATCACTAGTGGGGGCTGGTGCAGTGGTGCAGCGATGGGGGGGGGGGATTGGCTATAAGAAATTCAATCCGGCAAGTATCACGCCACTCGGTCCGACTCTTCTCGTTTACTTTCTTCCCTCGCCGTCTCGTCCGATTGGAAGGCGCTGTAGCGGTGCTCTTTCGCATGTTTCGACACCGGGTTCTTCCAGCGCAATTATGACACCACGAACTGGGTTACCTCTTTAGAGGCATGTACGCAAGCCAACAGACCGAAACCCTGTGATGCACTCGTGGCGTTACCGAGCGTTGTGGGTTGCGGTGCCGAGAAAATAGTTTCGAAATCGCAGGAGAAGGAGCCTCCCTCGGCAAAACTGTCGGAACCGGTGGATTCAGTGCTGTCTACTTTTGCTTAAACGCACCGGGTTGTGTCTTGCTTGGGCTATCATGATAGTTGTGGCAGACCAGTTGAATGTTCCCATTTTTCGTTTTGGTCGTTGTACCCTCCTGTGCCCAGGTGGAAGGAGGCTGTGGGGCGTGCGGAGGCCCTGCAAGCCGAGGCGCACGAGTCTACCGCCCCTCTCCTCCGCCAGGTGTGAATCGTTGGGTAGACCGGCCGTGTTAGAAGTGAAGGGGCGTCGGTCGGTCTGTTCGGGATAACTTCGGGACAATGACAAGAGCATTTTCGGAATACCAAGATAACTAAACCAGAACGTGTCGTGTGTTATGGTTGCCCCCCCGACTGGTCGGGAAGTTTCCGTCGCATCTCGGTTCCCCACGCCATGCTTTGTTGGATGGTGAATGGGTATTCGCCTGGCTTACCTCTCTGTTTCAAGGGGCATGTAAGGTGCCTCTTTTTCTGTTGGGGTGCACGTGTTTTGTTGTTGTCGCTGGCGTTTGACCAGCGTGTGCGGGCGCGTGTTCCAAACCTTCCTTTGCCTACGCCGCGATGTTGTGCTTCCCCGTTTGGGTTGTTTTTGTTGCTCCTGGTGCTCTCGCCGGTGCCTGCATCACACAACCGGGGCAACTCCCTTGTCACCGCCCCGTGCAACGTGCACACCGCGGCATCAGAATAAAAAACAGAACCACGCCCCCGCGACACCACCAGAGCGAGGACGAAAAAACAGAACCAGAAAACTATAAACAGAACAAGAACCAATATCCAAAATATCCAGCAACCAACCAACCTACCCGACCAGATTTTCATGCAACAAACAAACAAACAAACAACAATGTTCAGGTGCGTTCCCTCCAAGAGGAGATGCGTCTGAGGCAGGAGGCCGTGCGTGCCGCCGAGGCGTCTCTGACGGACCGCGCTGCTTCGGCCGAGCTGGCCTGCCGGGAGGCCGAAAGGAGGAGGAGGGTAGCGGAGGCGGCGGTGGCGGCTTCTGACGAGCAGGCCCATAAGGCAGAGGGAGAGGTGACGAAGCAGTTTCCGTCCGTATTGTTTTCGGTTTCATGCTTTTTGGTGGCGGTGTGGCGGAGCACCTGCCTAGTTGATTTGTCGGCACACGAGGTGTGTGCGTGTTTGGTTTTTCGACCTGGGGGTGTAGTTGGGGAGGTTTTCGTTTTCCGCCTCTGTTTTGTTGCTGTGTTGAGATTACTCGTGTATAGTCTCCACTTGTCTCCGACTTGAATTTGTGCGCGTTTTCTCTGTCTGTCTGTCTGTCTGTCTGTCTGTCTGTCTGTCTGTCTGTGTGTGTCTCTCTCTCTCTCTCTCTCTCTCTCTTTCTCTCTCTCTCTCTCTCTCTTTCTCTCTCTCTCTCTGTCTGGCGCCTGATGGACTGTCTCTCTGTCTGTCTGTCTGTCTGTCTCTCTGTCTGGCGCCTGATGGACACGCCCAGGTGGAAAGCCTGGGATTCAAGCTCACTCGTCTCGAGACGTCCTACCAGGAGCTCAAAGCCAAATGTCACCAACACGCACAGGTAAGCTTCTACTTACATATATTATGTCCACAGCTGCAATACTGTTCTACTTTTGATCTCCGTGTATCTCGGTTCACTGTTCTCGCGAATGTCTCGTGTAGGGCGACTTTTGCACACTTGCGGCGAGCCAGCCACGGGGCCCCAGTACTTTTCTTACCTTTTTCATTTTTTTGTCGCTTGAAAATTCTCAGAAGCGCGGTGGCATGCAAGAGATAGCGCCCTTGTTTGAACCGCCTGTTCGTTTTTTTTTTCTGGACCTTTTGTTTCTCGGAACGTCTCCAAGTATTCGGCTTGTCTTCCCCCCTCCCATCCTTATCTCCTATGTATGATACGGTGTTTCTTATGGTAACGGTTACTAACCATAGAGAGCTTCCGAGGTGGAGGTGGAGCTGTCTACCCTGAAGGAGTCGTCGAGGGCGTCGGCCTTGCAGCACAAGAGCACCGAGGCCAAGCTCAGGCTCCAGGTGCGTGCCCCGTGAGGGACACATCATGTGCTCACCATGTTCTTGTATGTGTCGGTGACGTTTTTTTCTGTCGGTGCTGTAGATTGTGCTTCTGGTGTCGTTTGTTGTGGGGGCTAATAATGTTTGGCGGCACCTTGGCGTGCCTCGCCCTCCTTTGTTCTCGTTTCTCTGTCCTTCTTCTTCTTCTTCCACCCATCCGCCATTGAGCACGATATGATGTACGTGTGTAGCTCCTTCACACCTATCGGGCGTTTGGGGTCGCGTTGGTGTTTTTTCGCAGGTCTCCTTTTTTATCTCTCTATTTCTCTTCTCCCAAGCATCATCAACCCGCACGCAAGCATGCCGCATTATATTAGTACTTGGCTCACACCAATTGGGCGGCAGAGAGCTCCATGTTTGGCCGCTCGGCGCATCGGTTGAGGCGCAGAAGCTGCCTTCCGCGGCCAACTTGAGTCTGCCGCAATCGACAAACGGTCCAGCCCTCATTACATCGTTTCCTCGAACTTTGTGTAATATTTCCCTTCGATGTCCGACACCTCGACGACGATCTGCAAGCACAACTGCTGCCTCCTGGTGATATTGAAGGCAAGCTCACACCCGTGATGTTTCTTTCGTTCTGTGTGTCAATGGCGATGACAATTGCAATTGCAATGGCAATTACAATGGCGATGACAATGGTAATTGGCGATGACACCGGCATTGGCAATGACAAATGACGATGGCAATGGCAATGGCTTCAGCTGGGAGAAGCGGAAGACCGTGCGGCCGAGGCCCTCCGTCGGTTGGAGGGCGAGAGGAGGGAGGCCAAGGACACCACGAGCAGCCTCAAGGAGCAGCTAGACGCGCTCAGGCGGGGGGGGCAGCAGACAAGCAGGTTTGTCACTGTTTATTGTTTTTTTTTTTTTTTGTGGAGGTAGAGGTGGTTGCCGCGAGTTGAGTTTTTCGTGACCTTCTTTTGTATTTCGGGCGACAGGTTGCCTGCTAGCAGTTTGTGATGTGTGCCAACACTAGACACGTGCAGGCCATCCTTGGCTGCACTGGAAATAGTGAGAGCTCCCCCACCCCTTCGGAAGGTTATCCTTGCCCTGGTGTACCCTACTTGCGTGGCATTGCTGCTGCCGGACACGGGAGCGTGAGGGGGCCATCCCAACGAACAGCCTACGGGAAAAGCAGCACGGGGTCTACCGGTGCCCGTGCAAGCCAATTCTTGATATTGTGCTCTCCGTCGCCCCGCGTTGAGACTGTGGAGGCTCCTTTGAGGTCAACGGTTGACTCGTAGTTTTTTGTTTGTGTGTTTTCGGCCATAGCAATCAAGAGCTGTGGCTACCTTTGACGCGTCGAGACGGGGGGAGTGCGGAAAGTTCTGGCTCTACTACTACCTACCTTCAGATTCTGAGAGGAGCAATTTTGTTCATACTCCGCGGTGCACTTCTGTGTTTGCATGCGCACGACACCACCCCAACAATTACGCGTCCCCCATTGTCGTGGTCGAGTAGATCATGTTGTGCGGGGTCGAGAACCCTCACTCTACGCAAAGGGCATGATCGCACCACGTTGTGTGAAAGTGGTAATGCACCCCAGTGCTTATAACTGTCTCTGAAAGTGAAAGCACCAGAAAATAAATTAAGTCACACGCAGCTGTCATTCGTACGCAAGGAAGTAAGCACAAGATGCCGAACGCCCGTAGCAGGATGCAGCGCACCCTTCATGCGACTCGCAGAATACCTCACGGCGCTTCGCGCTTGGTGATGTGAGAGCCTGGTCCGGTGAGAACCCGGCGTGCTCCGTCCCGGCTTTGTAGGGATACGAGGTCAATTGTCTAAACGACTACGGCATGCACGACTATGAGTACCCCCCCCCCCCCCCCCCCCCCCCCCCC